GGCGGGGCGGGGAGACTGGAAATGTCAGAGCGACGTAACGCAGCGCTCTCGCGCGACACTACCACCACCGCCGTTCACGCGCCTCTGGGAAGCTTTTTTCCCCTTTTCTTCGAACACTCAAAACAAATGGAAAGGACGAACGGAACATGCGTGGAATGCGCGTATTTAAGTAGAAATCATATTGCGGAGCAAAAAACAGTAGTGGGGATTTTCTTTTTCAAGAAACGATCCGGCGTAGCACTCGTATGTAATGATTCAGGGGTCTGAGTTCACATTTCGTCAAAGAGAATCAATGAAAGGTGCAAGGAAATTGCCTATTTGTTCTAATGGTGTTTTTAATTGTTCGTCAATTTCCAGGGCAAGCGTAGAGTCTCTACCTTGAACGGTTTTGGTAATTTCCGCAAGATAATTTTCTCTGCGTCATTGTGAAATAGCCCTATACCTGGGCAAGGGCATATTCAATTCAGTGGCAACTTCATTGTTAATACAGACATTGACAGTAATTCTTTTTAAATTAAACACTCCAATTTTCTCTAGTACGCAATCGTGAATTTTTGTTAAACCATTAATAAAACAAATAACATTTACTGAAATTACGTTTTTGATAGCATTTTGATTGATGTTCTGGCTTTCACCCATTCAATTGATTGAATATTTCAGAGTGTTTCTATGTCAATTTCACCGCGTCGCGTGTCAAAGAAATCTCTTCTCTGATACACTACGTCATTTGCTCTCTGTTTGTGACAATATTTTCTTCCACGATTTCTAGGCTGCCTCATTTATACTTGTGAAGCGCAATGTCGATTGTCGTTTAGAGGTCAGAAATGTGCTTGACATCTTAATCCGCGCCGCTTTGAACTGCGGAACGATAGAGGCCATGGAAACATGAACACCGTGAACGTCCAAATCTGCTGTAACGTCATATTGTAAAACCCATTAGCGTTAATAATTATCAATCAAATACCAACATAGGTAATATGCTGAAATTGCCTTCTCAATGCCTACCTATTCGTTTAAAAGTACAGTGTTCCATTTGAAAAAAGGAAGTTTTTCAGTATCTTTGAAATATAAAAATGCTATCGAATTTCTCACAAGTACAACTGATGAGTCACTATGTTCTGAACCGTTTGATGCACATTGGATTTCAATATTTCTAACCGTTTAGGAAATATTCGAGTTGATCGTTTTCATTGACTAACCGTGTATATTAAATCTATGACGACCAAACACTCTTTCTAAAAATATACAATTTCATCTTTCTTTATAACGTGGTAAAATACGTTTCCCAAAATTTAAAGCAACCCAAAATGTTTATTTCGTTCACAAACGTTCAGCAACGCATTTATTTTCCACCCTCCCGCGACACACACAGGTGCGCGACCGTCGCCAGCAGCTGCTTGGCGCACGCCGTTCTATTTCGAGCGAGATAACCCCGAGTTACTACGCGGCATCTGGAGCGCCGAGGAGCCGGTGGCGCCTCGTAAGCAGCGCTGAGAAGGACGTGTTAATTTCCGCCTTCGGAGATCGCAATAACGTCAAGCAGCTCGGGTCTCCGTCGCCTAAGGAAACACCCAGGCCGCCCTTCGCGCGAGGCACCTCCGACGGTCGATCGCCCCTGACCGCCGACGCACCTGCGACTGGGCTGGTCTCTGGGAAGGGTTGTTGTCAATTAGTTTCTCCTCGAGTGCATCAATTGTAATATGTAATTGAAAACGTTGGTAAATTAATATTGTTTTTGCTGTAGTTGTCGTCATCGCGTTTGCCGTAAAGTACAGCTTCCTGAAAACTCTCATACCTGGATGTGCCCCAAATGAATTTAGCACCTACTACTGTCATTATAGATTGATAAATTCTACACCTGAAAATACTACACCACATTTATTGTCAGTGTGTAATGGACATAACTGATATATTTGAGTTGTATAACTGAGACAGCATACTTAGTGCTGAGTGCTACCACGTACTAAAGAGAGATTTTTGTTCAACATTTACCACACGAAAATATATGGAATTTTGAAATTTTAAGCGATAACTTTACAAAAATAAAATTATTAATGAGATTAAATTGAGTATTAAAAATATTGCTTATAATTAAATTTGCCTGTGAATTGTTTTTATTTTATGTAATAATATTTGTGTTCAATTGTTTAAGTACTACACGAAGCACGAGAAAAATAATTATTTACACACCACTAGTAAAATCCGTTACGTTTGAGGCAAACATATTAATTTTTAGCACTAATGCTAAAAGTGACACGATGCTCAAATGTTTTATCTAAACTATGAATGCACAAAAAAACAATACTTTCGTCTGATCAGCTACAATTGATCTTAATGTAACATGGTACCCAATTAATTGGTTTGTATTGTTGAATTAAAATAAAATGAAAGTCAGTAAGGCTGTCTAAATAATAGTATAAGACACTTTTAATTTCGTACGTAGGATTGCGTCATTCGTCCTCGTGTCGCAACCTTTCTTACTCGCAAAATAAAATGTCACTTTTACTCGTACCACTAGTTTCATAAATAGATATTATTACGATTAGAGGAAACGTAACGTAAGTGGGAAAAGTACATAATAAATTTCTTATTTAGACTCTCTGCGTATAAGACAGTACGTGGAATTTGCTATCCGATCAAGTTCAACTATTGACGCAAGGAAATTATGGCCGTGATATAAAGCTAGCTTTTATAACTGAACACGATCTCTTAAGTTTTTTTCTTTGCTAAGGCCACTGGTTTTCTCCACAAAAGATTGTCATCAACCCTTCGTCCATTCCAAAAACTTTCTCTACCTGGCAAAATAGTCACCAGTACCTCTTATTGCATCCTCACGATAGTTGAGACTATTGAAATGGTGGAAAAACATTTTTTTAAGATCTGTGTGATATATCATAAAACGAATTTATTCATATATTGAGCGCATAAATAAATCTTCCTCTTTTATTACCCCCTCCGCGTTTGTCTCTCTCTCAAAAGCAGGTGTGAGGTAATGGAATAATAGAGATGATATTTGGATTAGATCCAGATTGTTTGTCCTGGAGCAATTCGTAACAGACACACCTGAATAATTAATTGCGCTCCCACATCAGTATTCCGGAATCATAAACTCCTAAACCCATCAAAAAGTTTTGGAAGGCCCACTAAAAATAACCTAATCGTTCATCCTAAATCTACTTCTACTAACCATCTTAATATTTAAAATGTTAAAGATGTTTGGTTAGAAAGCAATTTCAGCAACCTACTAAACCAAATTTTGTGCTTTTAACTTTTATATTTTAAAGAAATCATAAAATTAATAAAATGAATGCTTATCTGCCGGAATTTTGTCATTATTTGTTCTGCTGAGATCGTATTTTTGGCACAAGGCGAACGCAAGCAATACCATCTACAGAAGAGGCACGTCTGTGAATTTATAGTTTATTACGTTTATAAAGTCATTGACTGGCATACATGCATATTGCAAGAGAAAATTGATATATTATTAAAGATTAAGTCTCTTCTTTTTTAAATAACATGTGTAGAAGTTTACTGGAAGCTTTTCTCCACAATGTTAGCCTGCGATATGCAGTAACAATCACTTATCCTATCATTTGCCAAAAGTTTCTTTTACTGACAAATGCGTCTGATGCATTGCTTCAAATGCAGTTAAAATGCAGAGAAAAACATGCTTGGTTTAGTTTAAACAATTCTATTAAAATCTATTTTCATTTACCCATAAATATCGATTTATTATGTTTGGAACACAAGCAAAAGGGGTGGGAGGCAGGAAAATAAGGAAAATTCTTGGGTTTACAAAATAGACATTTTTGTGGATTTCTTCTCCAATACCATCTAATTTGGCATGTTTTCACAACTTATACATAATATTATATCTGCTCGTATATGTAAGAGTCCCTGATTTTCCGATATTTTGAAATTTTGGAATGCAAATAAGCAAATATATTTCTTTCGTTTTAAAACATGATTACATTTTTCTTTGTAATCGAATCTCTATTAGAGTGAATGCTTACATTTTATTCCATAACAATCCTGATGGCGTGAAAGTGAATTTCAAAGAGTACAAAAATCCTCGTTGAGCTAAATCCTGCTTCTGGCATATTAAAGAGTCCAGGCTAACTGGCGACAAAAAACATTCTCATTGGCGTGGAGATAAATATATGATTATGTGTTTGTCTTGCTAACTAACTGGGACACGGGGGACACATTGACTGACTGATTGATTGATTGATTAATTAGCGATTCGAAGCGCGTCTCAGCAAAGCGCTAGCGAACCTAGGAACTCGAGGTCGGTGACGGTGACAGGGTTTTCGACACCCGCTAGACAGATAGGGCGAATTTAGCTACTGCCTGAAGGAGAACATTATGTGACCGTAGTTTTCCGCGGTTTCTCCTACCAATACCTGGCGAACGCCGGAGTAGTAACTGGTCACGGACTGCGCGCGATCTTTCCTACCTCTTCCTTGTCCTATCCTCTCCCCATACTTACACAACTTACACTAGAAATGTACTACACTCCCACACATGTTTGGAGATACTTGGTTGGGAAAACCCTGCTAGCCGGCGGTAGTGCGGAGCGAGATTTCACCATCGATCGGGGGAAGATCACCGCCACCTCCCGAGCAAAATCCATGCATCACACTTACGGGAATATTTAGCTTAGCAGCCGAGGCGCCCTGACCCACCAACCAATCAGCGAGAAACCTGCTGCAGGCGGTGTGGGTGACGGCGCTGGCGCCGTACGCGGTGCTGGTGATCCTGCTGGCGCGGGGCGTGTCCCTGCCCGGCGCGGGCGAGGGCATCCGCTACTACCTCACGCCGCAGTGGCACAAGCTGCACGAGACGCGGGTGAGTGCGCAGCGCCAACCAGCGGCCAGACGACCGTTCCAAGTCCCTTGCCGTTGCTGCGACTCGGAATAAATGTTACAAACTTAAAGGACGCGTAGAACGGAAAAAAATATATTTTTGTCATTGAACGTACAGTGGAAAATTGAATGTAACAGAGGTACATGTATTTATGCATGTGATCTTTCCCCCTGAATTTTATTGAACGCCGTATGCACAGATGTTCTGCAAGTACGAGAACAATACACGAAATCTCCTTGACGCAGCGTCTCAACGTAGTCTGTCTAACTTCTGTGCATAAAAATGTTGCCTACAGATCAATTGAAAAGTATATGTTCATTGCCAAGAAAGTCATCGTTTACGATTCACTACGTGTTCTAGAAGTACGCTACATTTATTTTTGAAACACAAGTATATTGTGCTAGCTGTTGCGGTATTGTAAGTTAGATTAAGTTAGATTGTAAGTCTATATCTTCAAATGGTCAGTTATACCTTAAATATTACATAATGGGCATGAAGGGTAAGGGTGAACAAAGGGGAACACACTTTGTAGGCTAATAATTGGATCATCAGATGGGATTTATCTTCAGAGACAATTGTTAACCGTGGTAATGCACCACATTTCTTTAACATGGATATTACTTAATACAAATAATCATTCTGATTCTTAGTCCACCAACAAAGAGTTCGTTATTTCATTGAGTTCAACTTGACCATTCACGTCAATTGTATCGTATACAATATCGCTATAAGATCGTTAAATTGTCACGAACGCTGCCATAGATTTGTTAGTTCATCCGGTCTCGGATTCTACTGGGATCAAACATTTGAACTTCGTGACAATCCTTTTTCAGTTATGCAAGAACTGAACTGTTCCTTCATTATGTGAAATAAATTAACCAAAAAAAAAAACTTGCTGTCGGAGCGTTACAAGTTGGGCGAGAACCGAAAGTATTTATACTCAATCGTTTGTGTTGAACAGAAACAATACCTCTACATGTATTACTAATTGAAAGAGTCCCTCATTTTGTAATTTTTGTAGGCCAAAAGAAAAACATTGTGGAACTCTAGGCATTTATCGGATTGCGTATGTAGTATATATCTAAGTCCAAAATCTGTCCAACTAGTGGCTTGTTTCAGCAAAAATGCTGCTCAATTAAACCACTAAAGGAATTCAAAAAGTAGTATGTACATTGCTCACGAACACTAATCGGCTAGCTAACGAATTATTCAGTTACGCACTTAACCAGAAACATCATTTCTACTGTTTTCTATGCACAACATGTAGTTCTATGAAAACATCTCTGCACAGTTTGGAATAGTATGCTTGTTATTTTCTGGAAATTAAGTAAATATGTAAAATGAAGATTAACGTGTTTCCTTGAACACTTTCAACAGATAAGTAATGAAGTTCATGAATTTAACAAACAATTTTTTTAAATATAATGTTACAATTCATATTGTTTTAATCTGCAATGTTTTCAGATTTAGAGCTCGAAATGTTCACCAATCAAAACCGAAAACTGAATAAAATACATCAATCATATGTGAAATTCCGTTGCATTAAAACGACAATTTCTCATTAAAGGAACCATATCACAAGGAGATATTGTATAAATAGTTCAATAGTATATAAGTGAATTCAATCACATTGTATTTTCATTGATCCCTCGGTATTTTATCGTTTTTGCGCTTATGGTGGTTTCAAACAGGTTTGGATTGACGCTGCCTCCCAGATCTTCTTCTCACTCGGCCCAGGATTCGGAACGCTCCTGGCGCTCTCCAGCTACAACAAGTTCAACAACAACTGCTACCGGTAAAACGAGCTACCCTTCCTACGCTTCCCTTTCAAAAAGGGCGTTCTAATTATAACTAAATGAAAACGATTGTAGGATTTAACACTGAATTGCTGGTCTTACGAGCATGTGTGTGCATTATGTTCTAATGTGGGGGTTTGAAATAGGATTCATTTGATGTAAAGTGTCAGCTGGTAAAGTGTCAGCTGGTAAAATCTCAGCTGGTAAAGACCATAAAAATAAAATATGTATTTCTAATTAGATAAGATAAGCAGAATTTAAAAAAATACGGAATAAGGGAGATTCAGTCCAAGGAGTCATTCATAGATAATATGACTGGTACGATCAGTGATAGAGATGGTCAATAATGATCTAATATTAATCATTATAATATACTTTCGCGAATGACAAGTTTGATTGTTAGCATCCGAGTAATTTAGAGTTGGAATCCATATATTACCTATGAAAAAACAGCATACATGTGCTTGCATGCAATTAAGATGTTATATTTTATTTTGCTTACTACATTAAGAGCATATTCATTTCAATATCTATATTATCTATATCTATATTATCCTTTCTGATTATGACTGAAGGACATAATGAGCGGAGTGTGCGTCGTACGGAAAGAGGGAGGGGAAAAGTGAGGGGTAAAATCCCGCCGCCAAGAGACAATCACGCTCTAATCTACATTTCTCTAAATACAAATAAATAAAAACATACATTATTTTGCGTCTTCTCCTTACCCTGGCTTCGAATTAAGTGTTTGAAAGAATTGCTGGCTTATTTATTTATTTTATAATTGTGTGGGATTTTGAGACTCTGTAACTGCTGAGGTCACCGAGTCCCATGACTGATCCAGTGTAAATCCACCCGCGGCAGGAGGGGGCAAACAAATTCTCATTTCAACAACAATGTGGTCCGTTGGTAAGTATTAACCCAGTAATGTCAATATTCAGTACTTACTGATAAACAGTGTGGGTCTCACATTCAATTGGATATTTCCCTGTTTGTATTATTCATTACAGTTGCAAAGTGGAAGACAAATCCAAAACACACATATGTAGTTCTTTTAGTTGCAATCCCTGCAGTTATTTTTTTTTGTGCTACATAAATACCATGCTATTCACCTGCCCCCCCGTTTAATTCATACTCGACCAAGGATGTATTTTGGTTTCAGACATTCATTTCTTATGATGCTTACTACTCGAGATTTATGGTTGTCTTAATGTAAATGGACCCTTTAAGATTACTCAGCCGTCTCAGGATCAATGCGACAAACTTCTAGAATATGTAGATGGATTGAAACTGTTTACGTTTTGCCAGTGAATACGTAGAGGCAAATTTCATAAAACGGAGATACACATATGTTATTTGATTAGGCCAGGTAAATCCCAATGCACAGATGTTCAGCAGAACATGTTCTGATGTAGTTAAGAAAGTTTCATGTAGTACCTGACGAACAACCGCGCATAAAATGTAATATAACAATTAGCATATGTGTAACTCCGTCATAAGAAATTTCGGATCCAATATTCATTGGCAAAAAAGTGATCTGTTTCGACTTTACATGTCCTACAAGTTTCCAACAATTATTCTGAGCCCCTGTGGATCCTGCTAATCGCCTGGGCGCGACCGATGATGATGAGGGCGCCGCTTGCAGGGACGCCATCTTGACGAGCAGCATCAACTGCCTGACGAGCTTCGTGGCCGGCTTCGTCATCTTCTCCGTGCTGGGCTACATGGCCAAGATGCAGCACAAGAGCGTGGCGGAGGTGGGGCTGGAGGGGCCGGGGCTCGTCTTCATCGTGTACCCGGAGGCCATCGCCACCATGTCCGGCTCCGTCTTCTGGTCCATCATCTTCTTTCTCATGCTCATCACACTCGGTGAGTCCTCTCGAATCGTTGCTCAAACCATTGACAGAGGGAAAAGAGAGATACTAACCCTGCAGTGGTCGTGCGTGGACCGTCAGTCCGCACATTATTTTTTTCCTTTTAATATCTTTGATGTTAGGAATTCCGTAATGTCAGTACCTTCCTACAAACAGTTTTAAGCAGTTCATTCTTTTCAGTTGGGAAATACAGCGATAGTGGAGTTACCAGCGACTGCAAACTCCCCGTCCGACGCGACTACTGGCATTATATCTTTTTCCAAGAATGTTTATAAAATAAAAGGAATATATAAGCGAGTGAAGTGAAAGAAGTATGTTAACTTATAAGTGCGGTGTACTGGGTTCGTTTATCTTTTAATCTCGTCCGATTTCTTAAAAGAATTCTCTTAAAAATTTCACAGAAACGTTATATACACTTTTATACGTTTATCCAGGCATATACAAAGTACAAAATGAGTTTTCCATTGTCATTATTTTTTTATTAAAATATGTTTCACACTCTAGAACATTTTTAAGTAGGTCTATAATATAGAAATATTTAACCTATTTACTTTTTTTTTACCTTCGTCCACTTTTGGCTACGTGCGATCTCAGACTACGTCAGATGCTGACCTTTCAGAATACAAAACCGAAGGGTTAATGTAAATGGGATAATGCATCGATTGTAATAAGGAGTTGTCGTTGAAACGAATTTTGGATTATTAAGCTTAAAATTATTAAATATTAAAATTATAAATTATAAAATTATCTTTGAAACAAAATAGTGTGTTGGATATGCCTCTTCTGCTTCCGTTAACATCCCTGAAACGTAGGTATACGAAAAAACGTATATTTCCTCTTTCTTTTTTATATTTCTGAATGTTCTTAAGTAGTGAATAGTGTTTAGTATTGTATTTAAGTTCTGTTAAAATAAAAATGTTAAATATGATTTTTGTACCTTATCAGTCATAATTAGGATCTAGTAGCATTATTACGTGATATACATAATTATGTTGTAATCTTACTAATACATTTTATAACTGAATATTATTGAAGGTTTTTTCGGTAGTTTTATATTTCTTTAAATTGCGTGCATTTATTTTAAATTTCTGTAATAATCTCTTCATTCTTAGCTATAATTATCTCTCAACGCATTTTAATATAATTTGTTACATTAAAGATTATTTACAAGGTGTACAACTTTGCTTCCGCCGTTTTTCAATAGTGGGCTACAGTGGTAAGTAACGGTTCGCGATAAACAGATCGCAGACTCAAGGCAGTTAGCTGTAAAGCTTCGGCAACATAACCCTATTCAAAACATTAGTGGATTTGTGTGTGTGCAAACGTAACGTGTTTCGCGATTGAAATGTCATGTAACGAGCCGAATTCTCGTCAGTTGCCGGGAGGCTTCGCATTTTTTGTTTCAATATGAAGAAAACTGCGGCTGAGTCTCATCGGAATGCTCTCCAAGTACTTCACTGGTGAGGATTGTATTAGTGAGAAAACGTGTCAACGAGTGGTTTCAACGACTTCAGAATGGCTGAACCTTTAACGTGGAGACCGACATAGTGGCTGGAAGAGTGAAATAGTTTTGAGATGCAGAATTGGAGGCATTGCTGAGTGAAGACTCGCTGTCAAAATCAAGACGAACTGGCAAGATCATTGGGGGTGACAACAAGCAAGCCATTTCAAGAACGTCTAAGCCATGGGATGATCAGAGAAAGGAACTTGGGTCCCATATGAGTTGAAACTAGAGACATTGACATTGACGTTTGATGTGTTGTTGAACATTGCTTCTAGAGGCAAAAGAACGGGAAAGGGGTCAAGGGAATTCGTTTTAGCGGTTTTTGTTGAACCCGGGAAGGGAAAAATGGGTTTCATTACGATAACCTAAACGGAAAAAAAACCCCCCCAAATTGGGGGGTTAAAAATTCCCCAGGGCCATGCTCCACGGTAGACGGCCAAACCGAACATTCATGGGTCCGAGGATCATGCTCTGCATTGGTGACCAGCTCGGCGTCGATATACATGAAGCTTTTAAAAAAAAGTGAAAACAACTCACAGGGTGATCGATATTCGAACGCAATTAATGCGTTTGAGCCGAGAATTGAAAGACAAACGCCCGCAAATACAGCGAGAGGCACGAAAGGTGAATTTTGCTGCATGGCAATCTAGGCCCCACGTTGCAAGAGTGATGCAAAACGTACCTGCGAAACGTTGCAAATGGGAGATCCTACCCCACACCCGGCCGTATTCCTCCAGACGTTGCTCTCGCTCTGATTATCAACTGTTTCCGATCACATGGCCCACGACCTGGCTGAGCAATACTTCCGATCATTTTGAGATGTCAAAAAGTGGATTGATTCCGTGGATCGCCTCCAAAGATAAACAATTTTGTTCGACGCGGCATTCGCACACTCCAAGCCGAAGATGGGAAAAAGTTGGTGGCTTCAGCGATGGACTTACTTTGAATAATATCTTGTAGCATTTTGTTCAATAAAGGGTCATATTTTTTAGGAAAAAACGGCGGAAGCAAAGTTGTATACCTTGTATATAAAGTGTATTTTTATTAAATCTTCAAAAGATCAACGGATTCATTGCCGTAAAGTTCATTTCACATGTTTTCTAGAATGCTGCCGTAATTACAATATAAAAACTGCGTATTCATTGCACAAAGAGATATTTGCAAAATGTCAGTCCTTTACAATAACTAGAAAAATAGTAAGTCGATTTAAAAAAAGTAATATTTTTCGCTGATGAAATAGCCATATTAAATTTACTTCCTCAAAGTTTTATCCCTTAATTTTACACTTTCGCGAAAGTACGAAACTTTTGCGACCAATAAAATTAAATGTTATCAACTGCATACTATTCTCTCTGAATCTATACAACCTTACGAAATAGTGGTTCAACAATAAACAATACACAATAGGTGATATTTCTGCAGAAAAGTCAATGTAGATGCTACCGAATTTATTACCTACTTTATACTTTAGTCTTTGAATTATCCGCGCAAATGAAGATATTCAAGAGAATTCCTTCAAATGACTAAATTAGAATGTAAATGTAAATACAAAATCTGTATAAAATTTTACAGTTTTGTAATGTCTTTGGCATGGCAAATTGCTTCAAATACTCGATCGTAGGATTTAAAACAGAACCTGCTACTCCTGGCATTCGTTATCCTTGCAGAAAAACGAAGTGAAACTTACTAAGCTCAGGTAATATTTAATTCGTTGTTGATATAGGGTCTTGGTTGATATAGGGCTGTGTTAATATCCAACGAATACATTGACATTTTTATTCGCCAAATATTGATATTTGATTGTAATTTGAATGTATCCCTATTCACTTACTTGATAAATCTCAAATCAAAAGATAACAGCAGTAACTAGGCACATTTAAATTCACGTTCATATTTGTAATCAAAATGAAAAAAATATCCTGAATAAAGGGGGCACATTACTTTTAATCAATTGGTACGGTAAGTTCGCCTTTTAAGGTCACAACATGTTGAAGTGAGGAGAGTTGAAAGACTTGGGAAGAAGTTATTACTTGGATGTCATCGGTACTTGACATGGCCGCAGGGGGGCTTGTAATCGAGTACAGAATTCGAATGTCCGCAGGCAGGAGTCGAAATTATCTGATATCGATGTTGCATTTATTATTGCATGTTTAAACTGATGATGCTACATACGGGCAAATTATAACTCACACTGCATCACTATGTTACATCGTACTTGACACGAATATTCGTGTAAGTTATCGCTGAGTTATCAATTGATGAGTATCTCACGTTATTCACACTTAATGAAACATTACCTGTTCGCCACAATGAAATGCTATTTATAGCTTAGTATCAATACACGTTCTGTTCTCGTAATAGGCTGAATGTCACTAAATTGTTAAATGCAGTAATTCACGGACCGTTGGAATAGTTTATTAAAGTAATATAAAAATAAAGGTTAAACTGATTTTTAAATAGATTGTTTTCAAAGAAGCGAAAACCGCTTAGGTAAAAGGCAGGGTGTATAAATAATTTTATTTTTCAGTTCGCTTCTTGTCGCTTATGAAAACACATATATAAAATGTTTCATTTGACCCTCACGCACAGAGAACCGCAATAATCTTGACGTCCAAGAAAACACAATGACATCCAATAGTGGTGCACTCTGACTTCGGAGTATTACAAAAAAATCAAATACAGTAATACACGCCTAGCGATAACACACAAACAGACTTTGAGTAAAACAATACATTAAATACCGTAAAACGTGCGCGTAAATTGCAATATACTCAGGGAACTCTCCCTACGGGTAATGTTCGAAAAGTCAAAATCCACCGCCGAGTTGCGACCTGTGACTGAGAAACTATCATCGTTCCTTATGGCGATGATTGTACAACGGTGGCCTCAGTTAATGAACGGGTGATAACGAATCCAATCTCAAGATATTACACATCCACCTTTATTTCTGATGCCAATACTTTCGCTTCCGCAAACAGTTGCCTGAACACACGGTGAAAATTACCTTCGCTTTTATCACATCGCAAAAGGGTACGCGCCACTCCGTCGCTCGGTGCCTCGATGTTCCGGTGCGGAGGGCGACAACAAGGACAAGAGGCCATGAGCTCCGGTGCGAAGAGGCGTGATAAGGGCACGTCTCAAAAAGGTTAATGTTGTGTTATCGCGGCTACGACGCCAGTGCACCCCGACATGGCGCGCCGCCCTGCCTGTCTCTCAACTGCCTGATAAGCTTCCGTATGAGGCAGTGCGTTTCCAGTGCGTTCACCCGATGTTATCAATCAAATCAACGTTGACCCTTCTGCTTGCCCGATGGTTCCCCTACGATGTTACCGTCCATGTACGGGTAAAATAATACCTCCTATATAACACAGTGTGCCAGTCAAGTCTCTCCGCACCGAGCCGAGACAGGGCCTTCCACTAAAAATTGTATTTATGTCGGTAGCAACCACATTACTCGAAAACAAGTGAATGGGACAACACTTTCAGAATCTATAATTGTTTTGAGCACGCAATTTACAAGCTGCAGCCCGTGCAACCAACATAATTCCTGTTGCAAGAACTCTCACCAGCCAGGTGCCACTACGAAGAGGCTTTCCTGGCGAGCTATACGCTTTGTAAAATGTTCTGTTCGTTCGTCCCATATTCTTGAACGTCGCATTTCTCAACCGTTTTCTAGCTTCATCTAAATGCATAACCACGGTACTTTTCAGATCTTCTATTTCGTCGCCCCCGTGTAGCCCATAGGCCCCTTCAGGATATCTTAATTTTTCGAAACCGAACTGAATAGAATTGTTATTAAAGAGAATTTGCGCAGCGTTTAGGGAAACGATCTGAAGTACGTTATTGGAATCACGTGACTTGTCTCGTTTGAAGTATTAAAATCCTTTTGGAACTTTTTGTACTAAGGGTAGAATGAATTAAAGGGGTTAAAACTTGTGACAGCAATGTGCACAGCCAAGTCATCTTCCTTAAGACACCTTTTCTTAATTCTCTCGTTTGTTCGACTAGCGCTCCCCACCAACATTATTTTGCGTCATGGACAGTAGAGTTAACAGCGCACACTGCCCGAGAAATTGGGATCCAACCCCATTTACCGTGTATTTTATACAACTTGATTACACACTACAATTTTGGTAGAAGGTCGTTTTCCGATACACACTATCGAAACCTGTCGATCATCCATTCGTAGAATCTTAACAGAGGACTCACAACGACTACAATACGGCCTGTTCAGGCCGGAAGACAATTTTTTGACCATTCTAAAACACTCAATTATCGCTGAGGATCGCTCTTCCCCCTGACAGGTGAATGAAACGCCAGCTGTTTGTGCTTCAAAGTGTCAGTTCAGTGTGTGCAGTTAGGGACAATTTTCACGAGTTTCTTACGTATTCCCGATCTCGTCCCTAAAAGAATATTGTAAGATTTTACATAAATCATGTTTAAAGCCACAGGAGAATATGTATGTGTGTGAACTACGTTAACAAACAGATGTAAATGGACAGGTCATACATGTCAAACTCCATAAAGCCCACAATATTTACTTTCATTAAGCTTTTAATTAAACTAGCAAAAGCAGTTTGTTTGCCAAATAATTATGCATAAAATAATATTGCTCAAAAAAGTTTTTAAGTGTTTTTTTTTCAATTTTCTAGTGACAAATACATTTTTTATCAATCAAATATCCTCCAATTGATGGAATGTCAAAATTTATAGGGAGAACAAAAATTCCAGCACAAGTTAGCCAACGTTTGTAAAATAAATTCGTATCGTTCACTGTGTAGTCACCGATTACGTCTCCTAATTTAGTTTGGCTTCTTTGTGTGTCAAAACACAGCTCACATGACTAACCACATCATATATAGGTGGTTCAGAATAAATGTTGCAAAGTTCTAGAGCATCGAAAATGATCACGTTTTGCCAATGAATATGTAACAGAAGATTTCACCTAAGAAAGTTATACTACAAGTCCCATAAGGTTGTAACATTTATTCTCAGCCACCGTGTAGTGCTTGACGCTGTGCGCAAACTGTCTAATGCTGTCGTGCGTGGCAGGCCTGGACAGCACGTTCGGCGGCCTGGAGGCGATGATCACGGCGCTGTGCGACGAGTACCCGCGCCTGCTGGGCCGCCACCGGGAGCTGTTCGTGGGCGGGCTGCTCGTCTTCGTCTACATCTGCTCGCTGCCCACCACCACTTACGTGAGTAAACGCCCACTCGACCACAACTGAAGCGGTCGAGGAAAGATAGCACTAACCCCCATTTCATACATTCAAACCAAGAGTCTTAGAATGTGTCCCAATAACAAACATTATGATTGACATTCTGGACAAACGTTTTTGCACAACTAGTACAGAAAGTGTGTATAATGTAGACAGAAGTGTATAAAGAAAATAACACACGTTTCTTGAACTAAAATTTTGCTTTTCTGATAAAAGTTATAGACACGTGGGTTAGCCCTAAGTTCCCATATGTCCTTTAGTTACTAAGCTGAACTTCACAAACTATAAATAAAGCCGTAATTATTATGTTTTCCATTATTGACGTCTTGAGGGATTAATTACACGGAAACGTCAGTATTGGTATTACTTAACGTGTTAACATAGAATTCATTATAGCACAATATTTTGGGAAAGGTTTGCCACATTTTTGAAGTTCATGTTAAATCAACAGAACATCGATATGTAGTATCACACAATTATAATACATCAAACAATTAGAACATTAAAACGGAGGAGCATTTTAGGAGGGATAGCCCCGTTTGGTTTTGTGTGTTTTCCTTTGGCAATGCGGATTGGAATTGTTTATTTAACGGGCACGGGCATAGGGATAGCAAACTGTATCTGAAAAATGCTATTGTGAAATTTTGGCAATTATTAATATTCAATTCGATAACGATACAGAAGTTAAGCGTTTTTCGCACTGCTGAGAAAAAAACAAGCGCGTTACGTTGGACGAAGAAGAAGAAAGAAGAAATGATGATGATGATGATGATGATACTATTAAATAGAACATGTATTGTACTACACTACCTTTCTCTTCGAAAACATGAAAATAAAATAGGAATTAAAAATCATTATGTAAAGTTCTTCCCGAACGTACTATTAATGACATAAAAAATCACATCAGTTATTAATTTTCTCAGAATTACAATAAATACTATTGAAACTATTCATATTATTTTACGTCAGAAAAACAAGAATCATTGTTAAAATATGAATTTTCTTTAATATTGTTTGCTTGCAAGAATATAATTATGGAGCAAGCAAACACGTTTATTCACACGGAAATTTTCACGATCACTCTTGAGCTAGAAAACGCGAGCCAAGCGAGGCGGTCACCAGAATAGAAGTAGAACACATTCAAAGCGCAACTTCCGGAAGAGGATTCCCGAAGCAACGTGCATTTCTCGGAACAAGATCTGCGCGAGCGGCTTCTCTGCGGACGTCGCTCTCACAAAACCTTTCGCGCGTCACCGCTTGGAGCGCTGCGCGCCGCGCGAGGGGTAGAATAGTAATAGCATTTGCCAGCCGGCGCGCCCCTCTCTGCGCCCCTTCTCAGGGGATGAGCGGCGCTGCTCGCGGACTCTGCAGGTGCCACCGGGGGCTGCCGCCGAGGCGGGCGCCGCGAATATGCGCCGGACGCGGCTACCGTGGGCGACGGCGGCGATAACGGCGGACGCTATTTATCTCAATTCCCAAAACTCTGGGATAAACTACTTTGCCGCTGCAGCGTCTCTGACTGGCGCATCCTAGAGTTCCGGCTTGGCGAATTTTCAACAGCACCCAGGTAGCTAGACCGAATTGACGCAGTCTGGAGGAGAATTCTAGTGGTCGGCCGGTAGGTATCCGATGTTTTCTAACATACGAGGCGAATGCCGAAGCTGATTCACTGACATCGGAGATACTGCTCCGGAATCAATTGATGTTAGTGCATCTGACCGGGAGGTCCTGGAGTCGAAGTCTCGATTGGGGCAGGATTTTTGACATTAGCTGGACAGCTAGTAACTCACCAGCTGTCTGTAGGAGAATTCTAGTGACCGGCTGCTCTGGTCGGTAGTTTTCTGTGGTTTCTCTGACCAATGCCAGGCAAAAGGCGGAGCAGTACCTTACAAAACGGGCCACGAACCGCGATCTTTCCTTCTTCTTCCTTTCCTCTCATTCTCACTCCTATTCTCACTCCTTACGTATACTGACATGCATTGCAGTACCACACATGCCGGGGGACTGGTTGAGAGCTTAGAGCTCGTCCCGGCTGAGGCGGTGCCCCGCTGGTGGGAGATACCTGAATGAGGAAAAAACACGCTAGCCGTCTATAGGTAGAAGCCACATCTCGGCATCTAGCAATGCAACAGCAACCACCCGATACAAAAACATGCACAAAACTTACGGGACGCATGACCTTTCCAGTTGACGCACACGCAATAACGAGCAATCAATCAATCATTCAGTCCGATCAACTTCCGGCAAATGCCGGAACAATACCCGGAAAACATCCGGACTGCCTTTTACGTGCGCTGCTGGGAAGAGCCCTAATGTTACACACGTCTCCTTGCATCGTGGGCCGCCTTCATGAATATGCGCGGCGAAGTCGGCAATCGAAGTGGAACCGCCGTTGGAGTTGTCTCCGCCGCTTGTGTTTTCTGCCGTCTGTGCTGTTTATCTCGGTGATCTAGGTGCTCCTTTTGTCTTCAAACGTCGGTAGTTTTCCTGGCCTTGAGTGCTCCACATACGATTCCACTACTCTACTACTGAAGGGACTGCATTCTCAGGCAAATTATTTCCACAAGAAATGTCAAGGTGCACTGGAAATTTCCGACAAGTACACAAGTCGCGCTACTAGGAAGGAGTTTGTCTAAAATATTCAACGCATGTGAGAAATTTAATAAAACTCTTTGTTCTATATGTAGAAATTTTAGATGTGTAATCCTATGAGAAAATGTCACGATAAAATTATTTCTTAGTATCCACGCAGAGTAGAACGCATTAGACGTATAACAAAGAAGTCGAACTAAAACTTGGCCCAAAATAAAGAAATATTTTGAAGTTACAATAAATAACAACTACACATTGTAATTAATAATATTCAATTCTATAAAAACTACTTTCATATATTTCCACATAATATTCTCACCCGTGTCCCTCAAACGTGTACTCCATCATATTGCTTCTATATAGTCCCAAGGTACACCGATGTTTACACTGCTCGTTCACATACGCGCTTTTGTAACGTGACTTTGTCTCAGTGCCGTATTATCGACCAGTCAAAAGCAATAAAAATTTTTGTTTTCAATTTGCATTAAATTGCGAAATCACGTTCAAAAATAGAAATTCATCTTCGATATAATTGCCAAATTTCATTTCATGGTTTCCTTTGTGTTGGTTCTCTACCTAGGGATGCGATATTGATATCAACACATTGATTTTGAAAACATTTCATTTGACAGTGGCAGTGTCCACAAATGGCGAAATATTAAATTAGTTTTCTTTACTTCCTGATTTTATTGGGAAAATCTAAAAAGCACACAGGTAGCTTTTTTATCTCCCAAAGTCATCCCTTAATAATATGTTTCTTATCAAATGCCACAAAATGTTAAATCTTGATTTTTATAATGCTATAGCCTGTTTTCAAATTGCGATTTAAAAAAATGAAAGAGCCAAATGCACTAGTGATCACCGAGGGTAGCTAGACCTTCCATCCGCACTCAGCATTCCGTGGGAGTCGAATCCCCAACGCGGCGACGCTCTGCCTTCGCCGCGCGCGCTGGCGTGACCGCAACAAGACTTGGGGCGCAATAACATGCTGATGAAGGCGCGCTCGCGCTCGCTGGCTGGCGCGCAGGCGGCGGACGCTGCGTGCGACGGTCAGTCACAAAGCTCAAGTATGTTGCCGCCTTATGCAACAAATGGGTCTGGCTGTGGGAGAACAAGCTAGTAGCTCATGCAATTTGTTTATAATGTTAAGCTTCATTGCATGAGTACACGTTTCGAAACCGAGCAACGTTACGAGCGGGTTTTCAAATTTGAACGGATGCAATCAAGCAATTTTATAAACGACTTGCATGCGCTATTTTTTGTTTAACAGCATGATACATTTGTAATATAATCAACTCTTTTGTGACGCCACGGGTATTTGACATTTTTGCAAGAAAACGATAGTCGACTTTTCCGTTTACCCCTACCTCCCCACGATTCACTCGCTGCGATTGGCTGACTGCGCGATGACGCAATTATTCACGCCATAACAGCAAATACGTCATAATTTGTGCCCTGAGATGCCCTCTCATGAACAATTTTTTGCCACGTAAAAAGGCAGTTTATATTGCTGGAGCACAAAAGAATTAAACGCACGTCAATAATGAAGACGATGGCCAGCCCCAGCCGGTGGCAGAGCCTGGAGGAGGACGGCCGGAGGCGGCAGTTGCCCTGGTCTGGGCGAGCATTCGCGCAGAAGTTCCGTAGCGCTGGGTCGATGACGGCCATCAGGAGAGATGACGTAGAGGACGAAGCCAGGTGGCCGTGGGAGCAACCAAAACACAGCCAAAGGGCCACCGCATACGTAAACTAACTTCTGTCTGACCCTTAACTCTCGCACTTAATTATCACTTCTCACTGGCTACCCTCCCTGTGATCCCGCCTGCCGGAGTTCACAATGCCACGGCTGGCCAATGAGGGGCAGCCGAGCGGTTTGCTTCGTTGGGTAGTTCGGCGCCGCGGAAGTGAAATGCTGGCGCGCGAGGTACACGCAATACTTGTGAGTAGGTTTTTGGCATTTTAAGGTTCAACTAATTCACCTTTTTCCAGTTAGCGGTATTTCCAGGTGTACTCCTCTTTTGTTTAGAATCCTCGCCTGGGGGTAAGGGAGACACGTGGAGAGATGGACGTGTTCCCATCACCGCATCTACCACACTTGGCGGCCTCGACTTTTCTTTCGTCGCACAGCTATAGAAACTGCAATGATTGTATTAGAAAGCTATAGCTCTATATTTGCCCCGACCGGGAATCAAAACCGAGATCGCACTGCGACACCCGACTTATAGATAGTAGAGTAAATCACTAGAGGGTTCTTAATATTTACGTGAAGTTAAATTGAACTCCAGGGTAAATGGGGTTACTAAATATACACACTATTGGATTGTAATAATTATAATAGTAATAACAATATTGATAACTAGCTTAGCCTAGTCTCTAAAAGGATTTTT